TCTTCTCAGACTTATTGCGTATCGCATATTTTGAGAATAGGGAAATGCTGTTTCATAGAACCTATAGAATGATTTAAATGCAACATTTTTTATCAAAATCACATTGGGATTTTCTTCTCCCAGCATCACAGAGGGGAAATAAGGTGACGCTGACCGGCTCCTCCTGTTTTTCAAGGTGAATTTTCCAATTTATTTATTTCCGAGTAGAAAATTAGAAATGGCTGGGAAAATTTATGTCTTCGATGTACTTTCTAATTTTCTGAATTCTGTAAGATTTCACCCCCAAAATGCTTGAAATCGCATTTTAGGGACTCTAGATTTCAAAATTTTCCCGGGGGTGCATGCCCCCGGACCACCCTAGATGGTCTCGCGCCTTCGGCGTTCGCTTCGCCCCCCCCAAAATGAAGTTCTTGCTACGCCACTGGTCGACAATATTATTCCCAAAGGATCATTTATGCTACTGAGTTTCTTAAGAATATCTCTCTTTGTCACTGGTGTTTTTTCCTTTGTAGGTTCTGCTCGAATCTCAAGTGTATCTCCTTTCTTATTCCATATATATCCGAGGATTTTGCTGGGATTTGACTCGTTGTCAAGTTCTTCAACATTCGACTCCCACTTGTGGACTGGGAATTTCGCGTCTTCTAGGATTTCTGTCGCTTCGCGTTTGAAATCTTCAAGATCTGCAATATCACTTCCGGTCTTCATTAGATTATCAACATAAGTGTTCTCTTTTAACGACTCAATGGTGTTTTGGTACTCTTCTAGCTGCAGATTGACTTAAGTGGTGTTGCAGGGTTGCACCAAGCATAAATGGGCTGGCTTCCACGCCGAAAGACACACGGGTAAATCTTAAATGTTCTATTTGACCGTTAATGTCAAACAGAAAACGAAACGCATGTCGATCATCTTCCTTCAAACCAACTTGCAGAAACGCCTTCTGCAAGTCTGCGAGTAGTAGATGGGTTGACATTCTGGCTCTGATTAATATGTCCCATAACAATAGTTGAATTGGGGGGGGGGGGAGCGGGCAGTGTGCATGCATTCATTGACGCTATTGGCCGTTGGATGGAGTCTAGCACTTGCATCGAACACCATTCTCACCTTGGTTGTAGAGGCATTTTCTTTAATCACCGGTTTGTGTGGCATTAGAACACACGCTGCCTCGTCTCTCATCGCTTCAGTTGGGAATAGAAATCAGTGGAAAAACAATGGGAGTTTAATGGAAACTGATGCGATAGAACGTGAAGCGACTCGGAAATCCCACATCCAAGATTGTGTCCGTTGTAATGGCCGAGATAAATGGCCGAGATAATGCAAATAGGGAGGATTTTTCAATTTAAGGTCGTTATCTATGGCGAGGAAACGTTAAAGTATATTTCATGTTTATTGAGGAAGAGTACGAAGGTATGTTAATTTACATTTTACGCTCAAAAATGTATCAATTGTCGCAATTTAATAATATATGTGCATATTTCAATCTTAAATTATTTAAATTAAAGCTTCGAATTTTGACTGCTGTAGACATTGGCAAGCTAGTGTGGTTCTTGGTTCTACGTTTCTGGCAACCTGATTTCCAGGGCTTCAGTGTGAGGACGAGGCGAGACACGAGGAAGCCCTGGTCCGGGCCGGTCACGTGACGTCAAAAAATAGCAATATTTGACAGCGAGATATTCTTTAATGAAATATACAAGTCTTCGAAACAAATAAACAGCCAAAAGACTTCTCAATCGATATTATTTATGTGTATAGAGCGAAGTTTGACACGAATCAGCTAAAATCTATGAAGATCCCGTCTATGTTTTCTAAGATATACCGATATTTCTGGAGATTTTCAACTACAGGCAAAGCTCTGCATCCAAGCTGCATCTAGGCGTCTCCATGCAAGTGGTGATTCATACGAAATTTCCTTTCTCTCGTCTTGAACAATATGGCTATTGCTATAATTAATATTTAGTAAAAATATGCTCTAATAGATCTGATCTGACTTAAGTTTGTTCAATATATTAAATAAACACAAATATAAAACCTTGCGTAACCTGTTTACGCTGTACAGGAATATACGGTTCGCTTGTTTCGCCGGACACCAACACTTGCCGTTCAGGAGCAATGCTTGCCTACAAATTTTATCCCCTTCACAATTTTTGTTTTATTTTATCGTATAGTCGCAATTTTCAAGTATTCGGCGTATTCTGAAACTGAAAAACTGGGTGGCGTGCGAATCTTGTAGACTACATCGGCCTAGGCGTAGAGCTATTAAGTAAACAGGGCCTAAATTAATTTAATAGTTTCATTTAATTGTTTGTCTTGCTTTTATTTGTCAGTGCAGAATATTGTAAATTAAAATATTACTACAATGCAATACGCGTAGTATTTCATCAGACATCTGCACTAATAAATACTGTACAAGGAAAACTTAAATAATAGTAGACATTTCTTGTTTTGTCAGGAAACATCACACCTCACTTCGACACGGCTTTTGAGTTTTGTAACCGGCCGAGGCGAAAGTAAATCGTGCAGTCGGGAAAACGTCTTACTTTGAAAGATTATTTTGCAAAGCATACTCGTACACACAAGAATCATAAAAATACAAATGTTGAATTGTATTGTAATTTGTTATTGTCAACCGTCAAGTTCAGTTATTTTTAGACAATATGGTGTTAGCCAATCAGAATGCAAAAGTGACCGGCCCAGACCAGGGCTTCCTCGTGTCTCGCCTCGTCCTCACACTGAAGCCTTGGGAACGAGGTTGCGTTTCTGGAGAAAGAAACTTTTTTCCATATTTGGCCAAGATCCGAAAGAAGTTGCCAAAATATACGGAATGTTTCTATAATTAATGGCCCCCTGGCAGACTAAAGACATACGCTGATCAAAATAATTCCTGTCGAATCTCAGGTAAAATATTGTTAAAGTATTTATTTGGCTTTTGCACCATGTGCAAGTAGCAAGGTTAAAGATGCTGTAAAGTCTGTTCTGCGCATATATTCTGCGCATTAACACATCCATCAGTGGGGGAGCAACCTTTGGAATGTTGTTAATATTTCGCACTTTCCGAACTTTCTTGAATTGAATCTCTAGTCAGCATTCATTTACAAGCATAGCGAGCCGGAAGAGTGTTAAAAATTTAGTATAATATATATCTAATCATATTTTACAACTGTAGCACTGAGTTCAAAATGTAAACAAAGCGTTTGTTTACATTACGGACTACATCACCTTTAAGGATGCCATCTTGAATATATTTTTAATTGTTTTCACCAATGTGTTAAATACATAATTGCATCCCTTGCAAACTTTGAAATTTACCTATAGGGAATTATACCCCTTGCATCTATTGCTTTCAGTTTTTGGGACTTAATTAACACCATGGCCATACTGACTACTGAGTTAATTTCATTAATGCATTTTACAAAAAAACAAACCCTTGTGCACTTACTCAGCATTAGGTTTGAGTGATTCAAATAGTGACAGTACCTTAGAAAAGGCCTGCTACACATAGTGATATCTGGAAAACCATAGGTGGTTGGGGCCTAGCCAGCTACCAATTAGATCATGAAGCGTCAATCCAGTTGCTCAGACTATTTGATTGGCTTCCCTCTTTCTTATAATCCAATCAGGCTTTGTTTGCAAATCTTTTGTGAATTTCCAACTTGCAATTTGTTCGCGTCAGTTGCAAATTGCTCAGAGCAATTATGCATTGTTGCTCGCAAGAGAACATCCGGTTTGACTGTAAATTACTACAGTACTGTTTTAAGTACTGCCCCCCCAGTGGAGAAAAATTTAAAATGTTTGTTGATATTCGTTGTCCAATCAGGGTTGAGTGTATTTTGAGTTGTTCGACAACTTCCGCTTTTTGTCCAGCAAACCCGGCACTCGGATATATTTTGGCGGAATTTTGTCATTCTCTCACGGATTCTAGAGCGAATTTAAGCTCTTTGATTAAAGCATCGTTGTTTTGAGAATTATACGGTATCATTCTTGCAGAGGATATTGATTAATCGTGAAAGAAATGCGTTAAAGGCGAAAAATCGAGGATATTTTCGTGTGACATATGCCAAGTCTGGGCTATTTTGGTCGCAATCTTTCCTTCCTTCTCTCGTTATAAGGAAGGCACAGGCGGGGGCGGGCAAATAGAGACTAGGCCTCCTCTGCTTTGAAGACACGAAGTAAACCGGCGCCATCTTGTCTTCTCCAAACATTATAAATTTTCCCGCCAAAAAACTCTGTGGTGAAGGCGAAGTCCCGACGGCCCGGAGCTTGTGGGGTGTGACACCCCCCCAGTAATTGTATTCAGTCGGCAGGACTGCTATTCAGTCGGTAGGACTGCTATTCAGTCGGTAGAACTGCTATTTGGGTTAAATATTTTTGGCGCAAAGGGCAAGAACGTGGTGGGAATTTTAGGAAAATTTTTAGGAAAAATGTAAAAATTTTGGAAAAATGTAAAAAAATGTTGAAAATTTTTTTTGAACCAGTCGGTTGAATTGACCTTATTACACCCCCCTAAAGAATTTCCTGAGGACGGCCCTGAGTCCCGTATGAAACTGACGTGTCACAGGTGTCATTGGTCATGCGCACTAAGCCATTACAGTGGTGGTAAAATATTTCATTACAGTGGTGGTAAAATATATTACATGCAGTGGTGGTAAAATATTTCAAAAATACGCACTAAATCCAATTTTAATCTCTTTATCTTCTTTATTTTCGCTTCCACATATTGTTCGACCCAACTAGGCAACTACGGATTGCAACACAACAATTTTTGCCCGCTAAACATTTTAAAATCAGCCGGAAATATTAAGTATGAAGTATTATTTCATAATTTATATTAATATGCTCTTCGGGCGAACATCGAGAAAATCCGAAGTTGTCTCAGCCACTGAGCTGTACACGCGTAAAAATTGAGAAAATCAACAACTTGTTCCAGGTTGATATCAACAGGCGTGAACAAGGTTGTGCGGCCCACTATGAACAGTGTTGTCAACATGTTGTTAAAGCGTTGTTCTACTGTAACAACTTGGAACAACATGGTTGACAACTTGTTCATAGTTGGCCGCACAACATTGTTCGCGCCTGTCGATATCAACTTGGAACAACTTGTGCATTTTTTGCCGTGTACACGCGTAAAAACGCTCAGGTTGATGCAATACTGATGAAAACAGGATTGAACAATGTTTTGCTGCCCACATTGTTCGTAACTGTCAACAATATTGAATAATATTGTTACACCTGATTCAGGCTCAACAACATTGTTTAATATTGTTGACAAGTGTGAACAACGTGGGCAGCAAAACATTGTTCAGTCCTGTTGAGCAACGGGCTCGGCGTTTTTTGCCTTGTGCACGCCTAAAAACACTCAGGTTGATGAAAAACTGATTAAAACAGGATTGAACAATGTTTTGCTGCCCACATTGTTCATATAGCTGTCTTCAGGCTCAACAACATTGTTCAATATTGTTGACAAGTGTGAACAACGTGGGTAGCAAAACATTGTTCAGTCCTGTTGAGCAACGGGCTCGGCGTTTTTTTCCGTGTTCACGCGTAAAAACGCTCAGGTTGATGCAATACTGATGAAAACAGGATTGAACAATGTTTTGCTACCCACATCGTTCCTAGCTGTCAACAAGTCAGTCCTATCGAGCAGCGGGCTCGATCGGCGTTTTTTGCCGTGTACAACCACCCGTTCCGCACGTTATCAGCAATATAGTATTGTAATTATCAACCGTTATCAGCAATAAGTTATTGCATGGGTTGTCACTGAAAAGAAAACCACAAGCATTGGACAAAAGTTTTAGTTATAAATGTAACCGTCTCATTATGGAGGCAGCGGAACGGTGGCTGCAAACCCCGGCAACTTTAGGGTTAGGGGGTGGGGGTTACAACCCAATAACTTATTGTTGATAACGGTTGATAATTACAATACTATATCACAGAATAAAGACATACAGAAGTGTATCTTCTTATTAAAAGTGCGTAAGGGATTTTTTCAGTCCGCCATGTTCTTAGCAAGTGCCCTAAAGAGAGGCAGTCACCCCCCTGAAAACATATTGAAAATTTAATATTCCAGGGGGGTGAATGCCTCTCTTTAGGGCACTTGCTAAGAACATGGCCGCCAGCTATTTCGGTGAAAGCGCCTTACGGTTTTGTAATGGAAGTTACACTTCTGTATGTCTTTATTCTGTGACTATATTGTAGATAACACAAGAAGCGGCTGGTACAGCACGGGCTGTCCGTCTGTTTTTTACGTGGGGAAATTACTTCATGTAACGAAAGCTTGTTCTGGCTCGAACAATATGGCCGCTCAAACTTTTAAAAAAATCATGCCAACAAAACTAACTTCTTCAGAGCACATTTTTTTCTTTATGTCCTTGTTCCCTTTTTTAAGAAGTGTAAAAAGAACCTATAGTAAGGTGGGTAGAGTAAACACAGTTGAGGAATTAATGTTACAATTGTTGTAAAGATAAAAAAGTGACTATATGACCGGCAGCCGGCCTGATTGTATTCCGATACCCATCAGCTCAAGATCTTTGGCCGAAAGCATAGACATGCACTTGGCGTGGCACAAAGGAGTTTTCGGCGTAAAAAATTAAAATGCAGCAGATTGGCGGGCTGGCGGACTGTGTGTGTTTAAGAAATTTTGTTCTTTTGGGGGTTTTTTAAAGTTGTAATTTTCCTGGCGTAAAATCTTTGGCGGGCGAAAATGAAGAAATCAAATCAGAGCAGCCGCGGTCACGGTTTATCAAATATTAAATTGGCCAGCAATACACAGTGATTATAGTTAAAGTTGATTTTTTATGAGATAAACCAATCCCCAAACTCTACCCTTGTCCTAACCCTTTTGAGAGTTAGAAAAGCAGCAAAAAATGGGGGGGGAGAAATTTTAGGAAAAAACATGCTAAGTCAGACAAAACACATCCCGACCCTGACTGCTTTTGCAGCGCCTTAGCCGAATACGTCGACAGCAAGCTCGGTAAAGCATGGATAATAAAATAAATGGATAGGAAAATAGCTGACGTGACCTAATGTTTTTAATGGGCCGGCTGATGGCGTGATTGCATATGTTGAAACCTAGTTGCAAACCAGATTCTCAAAAAACGGCATGTTTAGCAATAATACAGCTAAAAATTTTAGTCAAAGAGCAAATGAATATAACTACGCCATTCTACGATGAAATCTCTAAGTATTTCCAGTCAACTTTAGCAAATATTTCAAGGACTAAACAGTGAAAAATGCATCACAAATTTCGTTAAAATTGGCGACGCCAATTTCGTAGCTACAAATGTAAAAAATACAAAACAAAGACGAAAAACATTTACCTTGAATACTTTGTCGTGGCTTAGGCATGTTTTTAAAACAATTAGACCAGTTTATGCTTCAATATTACTCTTTTAAAGCGGAAAATATAGCGAAACAACAAAAATGCCAAGAACTTTGGTTTAGACTGACGTCAGGAAGTTTCCTATTCAGTTATTTTACAATCCATGGCAAAAGCTAACGCAAACAAAAGTTTTTATATTTAATTATAGTCACTATACTGCCGGCCATTTATATATAGTATCTGATACGCTGTGACCGGCTGCCGGTCAAGGAGGACTTCAATGATTTGGTTTCTTGCACTTCACTTGGTGGAATTCATATTAGAATGCGAGGGTTTTTAATCCAATTTAGTATATATACATTTTAAGACCTGACCACGAACGACTGCGAAAAATGCAGCACAAGGTCCTCTGGTAGGAATTGAACCCACGGCCCACACTTTGTTTATATTACCATTAGTATATATGAATATATTAAGTGTAATACTCAATGTAAAGCGCATTTGATCATATTTAAGCCTGTTTTCCACTAGGCGAAATTTTGCGCGCGGAGCGGAATTTTTCTGTCTTTTCTAATTAGTTCCACCCGAGAAATCACAAGACAAAGAAAAATTCCGCTCCGCGCGCAAAATTCGGCCTAGGGGAAAACAGGCTTTACATTTGAATTTGCACAACAGAAATGTTAATCGTAATTAATCCTCTCCCTCAATGGTTTAACGTAGCCAGAGTTTAAACTTATGTAGTGTACCTTAACTTTCTCGAATTTTTGCCACGTTTTAAAAATAAAATGTGGTCTAATATGGCAAAAAAGTGAATGTCTAATTCCTTATAGGGGCCACGTCTATATCATGTTGCCACAATTAAATAACGTCGAATCGACATTACAAGTGGTTGAGTTTTTATGTGAACTTATCGACATTATCTCGTGGCAATTTGACAATTAATGTCTAAAGTAAGTACAGCTTTTGTATTATAAATACGAAAGTCAAAATGGGACCGAATATCGATCGACGTTATCTGGAGTGGGTGAAGTAATATTGTCGATTCGATGTTATTTGTGGCAACATGAATATGGACGTAGCCCCTTAGTATTATTTTTGAACAAGGTCAAGTTTGTATTTGTTACTTGCGTGAAAACAACAAATAAACAGAGTAGCTGGCACAGATCCTCGACTCCCAAATGAAAACCAATCTTGAATAAGAGTAAAACATAGCAGACAGTGTTCTGGGAATCTAACCCAGAGACCTAAAACCGTTATTCCTTGACACAATCTCAAGTTGTTGCAGAAATCCAATTTTTCTGCCAAAGGAAACATGTTTGTCGATTTTGTAAACGCTCGGAGGCCACGCAAAAATCTAAATATTTTTTTTGAATCTTTTCCATATTAAAACTGAGTCCAGCAGTACGGTTTTAGGTTCCGGAACGCGGGCACTGTTTTTTGTTTCGAGGGAAACCGGGCATTGCCCGGAGGAAAACCCTCCTAATATTTTGGCCGAATGTTAATGCCGGAGAAGATATATGGGAGCAGATATACCGGAAGAAATGCAGCCGAAGGAATCTGTGTCAGCCCATTGTCAGCCGGAATTAATGCAGAATACTGCAATATACTATCCTACTATTAGCACAAACGTCGCCATCTTGCTACCGTCAAAAAAATCGTCGTCAACCTTAAGTTTTGCCGAATGCCCTGAAGAAAAAAGCTTCTGCTATCTCACGACCAGAGATTAAGCGACCATCTAGAGATTGGGTGCAAAAGTTAGTGCACATACACATATCCCTGCTAGCACCGATTTTATTCACGGGGAGGGCAAAAATCCCGCTAGCAGGGATATTATAAGAAAAATAATGCATACTCACTTTCAAGACAAAAACGTTCTTGTCGCATTATCGAAATATAATACCCGTCAGGGCGAAACGGACAAAACGGCCTAGCGCGAAAAAGACGCGCATAAAGATAAAAACTTTGTATTGCATTTATTGCGGTTAAAGCTTTTTTTTCCACGCACTTTTTCCAGCGCGGTACGCCAAACAAGCTTCACAAATTGCGAACCAGGTTCCACGTGCACGCCTAATCTGCGAGGCAGCGTCGTATTTCATTTTTTTATTTTCCTCTTTTTTAATATTTTTTTCTTTTTTCTTTTTTTTAGTGTGTGTCCATCTCCAGAACAATTTTTTGCAAATTGCGAACATTTGCCTGAAAAATTCGTTTATTTATAAATCTTTAAGACGATATACGAATCCATACGAATTCGTGGAGAACTAACTACCATTATTAGAATAAAGCGCGAAGACCTCATTAGTATATGCAGCACACAACCAAGTTCACAATCACAGATACATGTTCCCGCGCATACATTTGATGGTGTGTTTAACAACGGACAAAGTATTTATGAACTTAGCCTTTTCTAGTGACTTTAGCACGAAAACCAAACGCTTCGCAACGCCTATTAGAAAACTACGCTTGGATTCTCGAGTCGGAGCGATACAAGAAACAAATTTTTTCCAAATAAAATTTTTTGCGAAGTGTTTTTGACACACACGAAAGAGTAGGTAAAATTTCAAGCATTTTTAATAATCAGTAATTTAAGCGTAATTTCCCAATGGATCAAAACTCCAAAGACTAAGACATACATATATTTCATTTTGAAATCGATGTGATGTACTTAGTGCTTTGTAGTTATATCATGCACCGACCATGCAAAAACCATGCAGAGAACATGCCAAAACCATGCAAAAACCATGCCGAAAACCATGCAAAAAACCATGCAAAAACCATGCACAGACCATGCACAGACCATGCAAAAACCATGCCAAAAACCATGCAAACACCATGCACAGACCATGCAAACACCATGCACAGACCAAGCAAAAACCATGCATCAAATTGGATCAGCTACGGTTAGACGCTGAGGAAACGCAACGCAAGTAAAGTACAAAGTCGCAAAGTAAAAAACAACTAAACATCATGAAATACCTCGCAAGTTTTAGACCATGTTTTAGCGCGCATGCGTCGCAACATAGCCAACCCAAATATACCGGAATAAAAGCACCAGGGTAATTAGTAGCCAGAATTCCGACTACGATAAATAATAAATAGAACTACTTTACACAGGATTCTGAGCACGCGTTCTAACATAGCAATATATACAGCTTCAAAGATTTACAGGGAGTTAGTAGTCAAACCGTAATTTTACTCATCGTAGATTCAGCGTCGTCTGGTGTCGGACGTCGTCATCGGAGTGGATTGCCATGGGTACTCTTTCTTATGCAAGCGCAAAGTTTCCGAAGAAATCGAGGCTGTCAACTCAAGTTGATTTCCACCAGAAGCCGGCCAAGTATTTATGCGTGCTGTGAGCAAGCGAGTCTGGGTACAAATACAGACATCTAAGCAACAACGTCAGTAGTAGTTTAAAGCAGCTAGACCTTGTTGAAGAATCGATACTGAAAACATTCTAGCAGAACGCTTGGACGAAGAACGGAAGGTCTAATCCTGCATACAAGTTCTCAGTGATCTAAAGTTTGCGGTAGTTGTAGGTCTGTGTGAGAAGTCCAGTGATTTTCCAGCTTAGTTTCTTCAACTGGAGCATGCGCAGAACGATTGATAGCTATATCGATTTCCCGAGGCTTCCGGTTGAAATGCCCCTTCCACCAGACTCGAACAAAAAGCACGCGTATAGGAAGGCGCCTTTCCAACGTACTTCTCCATCAAATCTGAGGGCAGGGACAACTCGCGGGAAATCACATGAAATCAACATCGCTATCAACCGTTCCGCGCATGCTCTAGTTGTAGAAACTAAGCTGGAAAATCACTGGACTGCTCACACAGACCTACACTACCACAACTTTCAGATCATGGAGAATTTGTACACGGGATTCGGCATCTCGTTCGTCGAGCAAGCGTTTTCCCAGAATGGTTTCAGCATTCATACCTCATTGAAGTCTAACTACCTCAAATCACTGCTGACGTCACCACAAATCACTGCTGACGTCACCTCAAAAAACCCTGCAGTGTTTAATCAATCCGGAGTACCCGGCGAAAATCTGTGGTGTTTGTTTCAATCTGGAGTACCCAGAAACAATCTGCGATGCACGACTAAATCCGGGCAAACCTATTTCATTACTGAAGCTCTGGGAAAATGCTTGAGTCATCAATCTCATCAGCTTACGCCAACTTGCATTCGCATTCGTAAGAGACATCCCATCATAAAGGCTTCCGTTTTCTAAAACAACAAAATAAAACATAAATAAGTATAGTGCAATTGTGTGGTTAAGACTTAACTAAACTACTAACTTTCTAGAGGATCACTAACTTTATTTAGAAACCCTGAATGATAAATATAAATATATAGAACACAATACAATACCTTGTGAATCTTCGTCCACCATTAATCTTCTTCTTTTCCAAAGTGCTCCACATTGAGCATTGAACAAACATAAAATGTGCAAACATGTTTTGGGCAGATACTGAGGGGGACTGGCTAAGCGTTTATCTCACGCATTGAGTCCTAACTAACTCGATCTGACATGTTCATCACGCTCGTTTGTCATAACATCCTAAACTAGCCCTATAAGAGAGTCCTGAACATGTTTCCAGACACTTAAATTTTGGATGTGCGAGTTTTGAAATGAAGGCAGACGAGCTGCGCTCTTCTCGTCTCCTTGTCTCTGAAATGTTGCGTCCTGACGACGACTAAGTATGAAAAAATCGGCTCAAAATTGAAAATGTGCAGGTAAAAAAATCATTGTCCGCCCAAGCGCGGGTTTCCTCCTTTCAACCTGAAAAGTAAAATGAAATACAATTAGCAATGATGCTTTAAAAGTGACGCCATGTTTACACCAATATACGAGCAAAACTTATATACTGAACTTCAGACATCATTTTCTCTTTGGCATACCATTTAAAATCTCTTCATTTTAGCATTGTTTTACATATAAAGCACTACGTTTTTTGAGAAACGTGTCAAAAAATACAAATTTGAATGTAATCAGAATTAGTTCTGAACGCGTGTTTATACGTACATAACAAAAAAATATTACGTAAGGCTTGCAGAAATGCATAACACCTGCATGGCTGTGTGTTACGACATGAATTCGGAGTACCTGAATTTGAAGCTGGAATAATTATTCTCAAATGCGACTGAGGCGAAACTATCATGACATATGCATTAAACTGTACTTACTCATGCATGTTGAAAGGTTATCATTTTTGCGGGTCATTTCACTTCATTAAATTTTGCACCTGAAAGAAAAATAAAAAACACATCAATAATTGAACGCGTATACTCGTATGGAAGAATTTTACAGCAAAATTCAATATTAATATTTATTAATTCGTTTCAGAATTGTTAATAAGCGAACGGAATCGTTTCAGAATTGTTAATAAGCTCAAAGAAATACCAAATTAATTTCAGAATTTTCGACTATAAGAAGTCGCAAAAATATCGTACGAAATTGTGGACAAACTGTACAGTACAGATGAAGTGCAACCAAATCGTTTGAGTAAAGCATACAGCTTTTATTTTAGGTATTATCTTGAGTAAAGGTTGACCAAAATTTAGACTATTAAGATGACTATAAATCTACCAGGATACTTAACAATTCTTAAAAGCAAGCGTTAATTCTAGTTTGCGACAAATATTTGTAGAGAAATATTACATATATATACCTGGTTATATATCCCCGCATGGCCCCGTGGCCAGTCTAGGCTTGAGCGAATTTCTCGCGGAACTTTCTGGCCTAAAATTGGAAGAAAAGAAATATAAGTTATAGGAAGACAAGAGAGAAGGATTCTGAAGTTAAATGCTACAAGATTTTATCGAAAACGTTACGAAATAGCTAAAAGTTTGAAAGCCCGTACAATACACGTGGTGACTAGTCATGCAGAAAAAAATATTTGAACGAATTCTATTAGCGAACGGTTCATGAATTTAGTCGCGTTTCAAAAACATATATAAGTCACCCTTCGATTGACGAAGGCTAAAGCAAATTCACAGTAAAAGACTAAAGATTCTTACCTTAAATTTAGCTTGATTAAACAACAATCTTTTGAGACAAACTTCTCTCTTCGAGTACTTGTGCAAATGTGAAGCTTGCTGACACAAAGCGAAATTTTAAACTTGCCTCGCGCGCAAAAGAAACGCCTTGTTACACAAACATACCCTCGTCTTTATTGGCTGGGCTAAGCAAATGAGCTCGCTGATTGGCTGAAGGCAAAATTACTGATTGGTTGTAATCCCTTGGGGAACATTATTCCAATAGGAAATAGTTGTCGATTTAAAATTCTTTGGACATTCCATGGTCACAAGTTAATTTTTCATGCATGCAGTGACAAGACTCATTGTATTTTCATGTCAGCTAGTCTAAAATTGTTTGGTCGTTCATCTCAAAATTACTTTGTTTTACCTTTATTTTGAAGTTTACACAAGTTAACAACCTTTTTAAATGTATCTGGCGGTTGGGAAACACAAAATGATAGTTAAATCGTGTCAATTTTAATTGATTATCATTGATGCTATAAAATTGCCATATTTATACAGCAATATATGCAAAACTTTTATATGAACTTCAGCAGGACATCATTTTCTCTGACTTTGGCGGTACTAACTAAAATCTCTTCATTATAGCATTATTTTACAAATAAAGCATTAAACATAATCTCTAATATAAGTTCGTTTGCCGCTCGAGAAATGTATCAAAAATTAGTTTACAGGGTGTTAAAAAAAAACGCAACTCGGAATTTCGCGAGAAATCGACATTGTTTTAAGGACAGAAGATTTTAGGTGCATGGGAATTTAAAATAGCGCAACTTTCAAAATTACTGCACATGCGAGTGCTAAAGCAAAATTTATGCATTTATTTAACAGTACAACAACAATGATATAATCTATTTGCAATTCGATTTCAATTCCCAGGGGCCTTAAATCTTTTATGCTTAAGAATTGCGAAGTGGATTTCTTAGAAAATTTCGAGTTTGCGTTTTTTATACACCCTGTACAGGGTGTCCCAAAAAGACGAAAACTATTGAAATCACTTATTGTTAAAATTGAATGCCCTACCAAAAAGCTGAACGTAATGATGCGTAAAATATCGACAAGATGCATGTATGAAAATTTAGTTAAGAACATCTCCTTGTAAAGTGTGCGATTTTTTGCTCTTGGGAATTTAAAGCAGCTTCTTAAATAGTTTCTTAATTTATGCATTGAATTTACTTATGTCAATCATTTATGCACTCGTGGGAACCAACAGAGAGCTAAGGCATTCAAATTCCAACAATTAAATTGTTATTGGTGATTTCAATAGTTTTCGGGTTTTTTGGGGACACCCTGTACAGGGTGTCCCCCAAAAAAGTGACACTATAGAAATTATCCTATTGTTATAATTTGAATGCCCTAGCACTAAGTTGATCCCACAAGTGCATAACCTTCTGCTTCTGGAATTTAAAATAAAAAAGCAAACCGTTTATTAGTGTAATCGTTTTGCTTGACTCGGGCGTTAAAATATTTGGACAAAGCGAAAACGTTTTAAAATGCTTAAATGTAAATTGGCGTGTAATCACGCGCGTTTAAGAGCGGCTTAAGAACAATGAGATAATTTCTATAGTGTCACTTTTTTGGGGGGACACCCTGTATATTGAATATAGTCATAACCAAGTGGAAAAGTATATTCATTAGTTTTGAGCGCGTGTTACGTAACATGCAAAAGATTCTGAAATTAAGACAAAGGAATTGTCCACGGTGAGGTACTACAGTTCAACATCAAACATTACAAAGGTCTTCTATTTTGTAGCTTTGACGTTTGTCAGGCTTCCAGACCATTGCAATGCATCTTGACAGACTATGGCGAAACAATAAATAATACCACCCGGTCACGAGCCAGTGATTGGAATGTTCTTTCCATTCTCTTGAAAATCCCACTGTCGTCCAGCCAAATTCGTTGCTTTGACTTATTTTAGCATCTATTTACTTTTGACCGACTTATTACTTTAAATGGCATCCAGCTGCGGGATATCTAGGGATTGCAACGGAGATCTTAACCTTGGCTTTTAAATTGAAAACAGATATTAAATAAGCAAGCAATAAATAAGTTTCGACGTGTGGTTGCTAAAACTAAAGGCCAGTTCAAAGTTGGACCCTTTTAATGCTCCAGCATATTGGACGTCTAGTTCGAACGTCAAGCCATAGGCTGATGCTACGTTTCCACTATATCGGATAGCTTTCCGTAGTAGCGCGAAAAAGCACTTATCCGATATTTCAAAAACAATATATATTTGAGAAGTTCAAGTATTAAACGTCGATTTTTGCACGACTATGTTTTCCCACTAGTAAATTCTAGACTTGTGATAATACATAATTAACATAAAATACGTACAGTACCTTCATGATTAGTTCGGTTCCTATAAATAAAGATCTTAAAGGGCATATGACTCGAAAATACGGTGTTATTTTTTAGTCTAATTTTTAGTCTAGTCGTATTAAAGATATACAACTCAGTTTTAGGGCTGAATCATTATGCATATGGGACGTAAGTTGGTCCTTTAAGACTGATTTCCACTGTTCGTATGCATGTACACGCACGTAAAACTTGAATCCTTCTATTTTTTAAATATTTTACAAATAAGTTAACAAATGCATACTAAAACTTGCGGAACACTAAATTCTGTTGCTTTATTTATTTAGTTATTTCATCACAGGAAGCCCAGGCGGGCGCGGACAAATAGAACCTAGGCCTCCTGTGGTTTGATTTCATTAAATAAAATCCTCACTGAGATAAAACTGCAGTTTTTCAATCTCTTTTCTAATCTTTTTCTCCTGGTCTTTTTCCGCTTGAGTGATTTCTACCGTATTAATTATTCTCCTCAATTTCTTGTTGTTCAAGTTCGTCCGCCATCTTGGATTTCGTATTAAATACCCTCAATTTCTCGTCTTTATCCGCAAATATTTCGTTGTTCAATCCTGGCAACGGCACCAAAATATGCCGAACTTGTATCGGCGCACTAAAACTCTGGTATTATGTTTTAGTAAAGTTTAATAAACTAAATAAACTCTCACTTTTTATACAAAACTCTCGCTTACAAGTCTCACATGTTCGTTGTTTTTCCTGATACTCCGGTAGCCCGCGAACGCCACAGTAACCCAATACACCTATCTCTAATATGTTCGTTCACTTGAATGTATATCTCACCTGTCTGAGACGTTTCCCTATCCGATTAATCATAGTCACTGCTCTCAAAACGGTGAAAAAGCTTGTTAGGCGAATGTGAAATCCTGTCACATTTCGTTTCCAAAGTAAACCATTTCTTGGATCCTAAGATTCAATAATTGAATCCTAAGATTGAATTATTGAATCCTTATCATTGAATCCTAAGATTGAATCATTGAATCTTAGATAATCCCTATTTATCCATAATAAACACTTACGGAATTAATTTTAGCTTGTACTGTAATATGGCACGCCGATTGTTGCAGTATTCAATGTTAATATATTTGTTCAATTTAATCGCAATATTCATTCAATTTAATTGTCATATTTTCATTAATTTAATATTAAAATATTCATTCAATTTAATAAATATTTATTCAATTTTAAACTATAACATATTTGTTAAATTTAATGTTTGTATATGCATTCAATTTAATTTCAATATACATTCAATAAATCCTAAATTCATTCAATCTTGGCAGGCTGGGGCGAGCAGTTTATCAGTAGCCCAACGGACAAACATGGCGGATGAAGAAGTCTTTAATGTTGAAAATGACCTGCCAATGTTTTTAGAGTCCGTTTTAGACAACGTAGAATCTATTTTTCAAAGTGATGTTGACCTAGAAGTCGCCGAATCCCATGCTGAAGTTATTGATCAAAGTATTCGTTTGAATAGATCAATAAGTGAGTGCGCCGATGTCGAGACTCAAGACAAGATGAATCTGAATACACTTTCCACCGTTTTTACTGATGTACTATCGCTGTTAAACCATCCAAATGCCATAAGATCTCCAACTACGGCTTATGAGAACAAAACTGAGGTAGCAACTGAAGTAAATGGTTGTCCTAGAAGACCGCGTTTTGTTATCCGTGCTGAAATGCTTGAAGAGCTTCGAGAACTTGGATTTAGTTGGACTAAGATAGGATAAATTTAGGGGGGGGGGGTACAATTCATAGACGGGTGGCAGAGTATGGTTTGGAAAATATGACTGGATTTCATGGACGAAGAAATAGATGTAAAAGTCAAAGAATTTATTTTAAATCATGGCTGCACAACTGGACAGTGTTATGTCGGGGTTACCTGAAGTCAGTTGGCTTAAGAATTCAAAGAAAACGAATAAGAGAAAGTATGGCAAGAGTTGACCCACACAACACTGAATTGCGTTGGAGTATTGTTATTTCTCGCAGGCAATATCAAGTTCCTTGGCCAAATTCCCTATGGCACCTGGATGACTATCATTCTTTGATTAGATGGAAGATGGTTATTCACGGTTGCATGGATGGTTATTCCAGACGATTTTCGATGTGTATGCCATCTTTACTATTATATCTTCTATGCTATGGAGTCTACTGGTATCCTTGACATAAATAATCCTGTTCATCTTTTCACGCTGCACTTAATTTTTATTCCAAGGATTAACAAGGTACTGGATGAGTTTAGAGAAGCATTTAACCACCACAAGGTACGCACAGAAAGAAACTGTTCCCCAAACCAAATGTGGATAAATTGAATGTTTCATCCTGATAATCCACTGGCGCATGCAGAGCTAGATGCAGAGCCACGTGATTTGGAAATGACCCATATGGATCATCTTCAGTTGGAAGTGAAAACAATGTAATTGTTGAAGCAGTCCACTTGCCGCATGATAATTTGCTAGCATCATTTATTCTTGAAACAATCGATCCCTCGCAACAATCTCATGAGATGGGGGTAGACATTTATACTGAAGCCTTAGAACTGGTAGTACTAAAGATTGACGAACTAACAAACCCTTAATGAACATTTTGGTACATGTCTACATGAAACATGTCTTAAACCACTCGAGCAGAGCAGACGTGTATTTTTGAACTCCCGGTACAGCAGTTCGTGTATATAATCCGTATAGAATCGTGAACATAGTGAAATAGCTTATATAATCAAGCAAGATGCAGAGTCTTATCCACGACTTATCATTCAGCAATAGAAATAAACTAATTTGGACAGGCTCTTTTGAAGCACTGCAGCAGTTTGTTCAAGAAGTATTAGACCTGAACGAAGGAGATTGGACTTCTCCTGGCGCCGATGCTAAGCTGTTTGTAGCCAAAGGAAAAGACGTTGCAATAAAATGGTACGCGAAATCCCAAACTGTCTCTGTCAGCGGGCATGATCGAGAAAATGTCGAAGACAGATTAAAATCAGTAGCTTCTATGGCGAAGAGTTTATCCGATGTAAAAATTCCGAAGAACAAACGAAAGACCGCTTGCTCGAAACTACGTTGGAGACTCTTAACAATAAGCTTCAGACCTTGGAGGAGGGGATCAGTTCTAAAATGTCTTCCGTCACTGACATACTGCTAGTTCACTCCAAAGAATTGAGAGAACTGAAAAACCTCGACTCTGACACTGAATTGTCATGGCTGAGAAAGGAAAATGCCAGACTAAAAGACGAGAACGAAAAGATAACCGAACGCGTAAACAACTTAAGCATTGTGCTAGCTGATTTACAAGACAAAGCCGCACGGGCTAATGAAGAGAAAGCCAGTCTAATGACAAGTATCCGGCTATTGTTTAAGGATTTGGAATCCACTCAACCAATAAATGTAAATCACCTTGAAACTCCTCATGACCAACAACAAGCTGTTTTGGAATGTTCTTCAGATACGAAAGACACAAACAGCGAACATGTGGTCACTATTCCAACAAAAAACAGTTTTTCACCCCTACTTGTTGAAGAAACAAATACCAACGACAACGAAACCGATGCAGACAATGAAAACAACAGGCGACAACGGAGAGATTCTGCTACCCAAACGGTGAAAAAAGATCACAACAGCCACAAAAAGCCAAAAGACAAGCCCGCATATGAGCAAAGAGCAGGCTCGGAGACAGGCCATCGTCTTAATGTGGCCATTATTGGAGATTCCATGGTGAAACATCTAAACCCCTCCAAGTTGCGTAAAGGCACAAAGCATAATATCAACGTGCAAACCTTCAGTGGAGCCAATGTTGCTGATATGCGTTATTATGTGAAACCAGCAATATCAAGATCCCCTGACTATCTGCTCCTACATGTTGGAACTAATGACTTAAAGCGACAAACCCCTCAACAAATAGCTGGGTCAATTTCTACGCTTTGCCAGGAAATCGTAAAGGAATCACCAAATACTAAGATTGTATTATCGAAAGTTATAACCAGATCTGATGACTCAAGCCTAGATTCCAAAATCAAAGAACTAAATTGCAAACTATCACAGGTATGCCATAATAATAAATGGGGTGTATTAAATCATACCAATATTACAGCAGATCACTTGAATCCTTATGGTCTCCACTTAAATAAGCAAGGAACAGCCAAGTTGGCCAAGAATATTATAGATCATTTCAAAAACTTAAATTGACAAACGAACAATCAAAATAATATTACTCCCTCAGATGATAGTAATATACAGAGGTTTAATTCCATTGAAAACGATAATGCCAATAATGCTAATAGCCCTCTGGGTAATGATGTAAATAGACAACAATCACACGCTAGCGGCTCTCTCTTTCCTAAACTTAAAGGTTTTAAAGTATGTCATCTAAATATAGCAAGTTTGATAAAACACTATGATGAGCTTTTGCTATATATGCAAAACAAACTTTTTGACATTATAACGCTTAACGAAACTAGATTAGATAGTAGCGTACTAAACGGTGAAATTGAAATTCCTGGTTATGATATTGTTAGGCGTGATCGAAACAGAAGCGGAGGAGGTGTTGCAATGTATATTAGAAGCAACATACCATACACCATTCGCAAAGACCTCTTCCCTGATAATTTAGAGTTGATTTGCGTAGAAATTAAAAAATTTAAAAGTAAACCTCAGTTAATTACAACATGGTACAGACCACCAAATTCCAGCGTTGAGCTGTTTAGCGAATTTGAAAATTTTTTAAAACTACTTGAGGACGAAAATAAAGAAATTATCATAACCGGAGATCTCAATTGTAACATTCTTGAGCAGAACAAAAGTTTGCCTACTTCTAAACTAGTTGACCTGATTGACATTTATCAATTACAGCAACACATACAGTGTCCCACGAGAATTACTAATACAACAGCATCACTACTGGATGTTATCCTCACTTATTATGGTGATGATAAAATATTAGATACAGGAGTAATACACCTTGGTATCAGTGATCATAGTCTTGTTTATCTGTGTCGAAAGCTCAGCATTCCTAAGGCGCCACCAAAAACTGTCTTTACTAGACATTATAAAAATTATAATGTTAACCACTTTAACAACGATCTAAGTGAGGTTTTTAGTTTGCCCTTCGATTCAGCTATTTTAACTGACCCAAATGCCTTATGGAACGATTTTAAAAATAAGTTTTTGAGCGTCGCAGATAAACATGCACCAATCAGACAACGTCGTGTCAAGAGTGAATATAAACCGTGGCTGACAAATGAAATTAAGAAAATGAGCTATCGTAGGGATTACCTTAAAAAGCAATCGATTAAATTAAGATCTGCGTATTATGATAAGGCTTATAAGAGATGTAAAAGCAAGTTAAATAATCTCATAAAAGAAACTAAACAAGAATACTTTAGAGATAAACTAAGCAATGCTAAAAATAGCAAAGAAAGTTGGCGAACTATTAACGAATTATTAAACAAAAAGCCTAAAACTTCAGAGGTTAAAGAACTAGATATAAATGGCCAACTTATTACTGACGATGATAAAATTGCAGATGCCTTCAAACAATATTTTTCCACAATTGGCAGTACGTTGTCTGACAAGATCACAGGTAACTGCACTGATCCAATGAACTTTGTGACTCCTCTTGATGGTAGTATATTCAACTTTACAAGCATTACACTCCAAGAAACAATAGATGCACTCAATGAAATTAAAACTAAGAAATCTCCAGGGCTTTATGGTATTAGTATAAGGTTACTAAAAGATGCATCTAACATTGTGGCAGGACCACTAGTGAACATATTCAATGTATCCCTTCAAAGAGCAATTTTCCCTAATGATTGGAAATTAGCAAAGGTGACCCCCATATTTAAAGAAGGAAATAAGGCAGACT